GGCACTGTTAGCTCTCTTCACCACATTTGCTTATGCACACGTTTATCTACAGTGATTTGTGTCAGTAGAGCGGGCACCCACTGATATGATTTTAAGTTCTTTGTTTTTGAAGAAAAGGTATGAAGTAGGTAGCAATTATGCTTTTAAGATATCTGTTTTTTAAGACACCAGCTGTAACCATGATTTTAATGACTAGGGCTACTGAAGTTATGGCTGGGAATACAAGATGCCAGCACATGTAACAAGGTCTCTATATTCTTCTCATCTACAGGTGAGCTGCTCCCCTCCCATTGAATTCAGCTGGCATTCAGATTGTCTTGACCAAGAGGGTGCATTATAAATGATGTTATGCCAGTTCCCAGACTAATTTTTTTCCACTTCATTTTTTAATTAATTGGAATTTAATACATATATCAGATCATTCCATAGTTCAGTCAAATAGAACTGTACAATTGCTATCACAATCAGTTTCCAGATATCCTTTTTCTACATGGAGTCCTTGACATCATCTCCCTTTTACTCCACCACTACCACTGCAACCCCCTCCCCACCGAAAGCTTTATTCTACTTGCTGCCCTTTTTTTAACTGAGAGGTCATTTTATTGGGGGCTCTTACAACTCTTACAACAATCCATGCATCAACTGTATCAAGCATATTTGTATATATGTTGCCATCATTATTTTCTAAACATTTACTTTCTATTAAGCCCTTGGTAGCAGCTCCTTTTACCCTCCCACCCTCCTCCCACCCCCATCTTCATGTCCCCTTGGTAAATTATCAATTATTATTATTTTCATATCTTACACAGACCACTGTATCCCTTCCCCCATGGTTTCTTGTTATTCATCCCCCTGGAGTCTGGGGGAAGTGGTTATGTATTGATCATTGTGATCTGTTCCCCCTTCCTCTCCTTCTCTCCCTACTTTCCCCCTACCTTCCTAGTATCGCTACTTCCATTCCTGTTCCTGGATTCCATGTGTCCTGAGCTCTTATCTCTTATCTGTACTTGTGTACCAGCTTCGGTCTAGCCTGCAGTGAAAGGCAGGACTGGGGTCATGATAGTGGGAGGTGAAGAAGCCTCAAGGAACCAGAGGAATACTATGTGTTTCATCAGTGCTATACTGCGCCCTGCTTGACTCATCCCTTCTGTGGAAGTTACATAATCTGGTGTCAATTTGAGAGGATTACGAGTGAAGGCGTGGAGTGTGGCCTGTCAATCAAGATATAACCAATGAGGCCTCTGTGTGGGCATGGCCTTCTCCTGAGAATTCTGGGAACTCCTGTATTTCCTC